AGTTTCAGTGTACAGATATTTAACCTCCTTGGTCAAATTTATTCTTAGATATTTTTTGATGCAATTGTAAGTGGGATTGTTTTCTTAATTTGTCTTTCTGATAGTTCATTATTAGTGTATAGAAATGCAACCGATGTTTTTTTTGTGTGTGAGGAAGATCAGCCCTGAGCTAACATCCATGCCAATCCTCCTCTTTTTTTTTTTTTTTGTGAGGAAGATCAGCCCTGAGCTAACATCCATGCCAATCCTCCTCTTTTTTTTTTTTTTGTGAGGAAGGTCAGCCCTGAGCTAACATCCATGCTAATCCTCCTCTTTTTGCTGAGGAAGACCGGCTCTGAGCTAACATCTATTGCCAATCCTGCTCCTTTTTTTCCCCCAAAGCCCCAGTAGATAGTTCTATGTCATAGTTGCACATCCTTCTAGTTGCTGTACGTGGGACATGGCCTCAGCATGGCCAGAGAAGCGGTGCGTGGGTTGCACCCAGGATCTGAACCCAGGCCACCAATAGCAGAGCACATGCACTTAACTGCTAAGCCATGGGGCCGGCCCAATCCTCCTCTTTTTGCTGAGGAAGACTGGCCCTGAGCTAACATCTATTGCCAATCCTCCTCCTTTTTTTTCCCTTTTTCTCCCCAAAGCCCTAGTAGATAGTTGTATGTCATGGTTGCACATCCTTCTAGTTGCTGTATGTGGGACGCCTCCTCAGCATGGCCAGACAAGCGATGCGTCGGTGCACGCCCAGGATCTGAACCCGGGCCGCCAGCAGTGGAGCGTGCGCACTTAACCACTAAACCACAGGGCCAGCCCTGCAACTGATTTTTGTATATCTATTTTGTATGAAGTAACTTTAATGAATTCATTTGTTAGTTCTAACAGTTTTTTGGTGGAATCTTAAGGGTTTTCTATGTATAATATCATGTTATCTGCAAGTAGAGACAGTTTTACTTTCTCCTTTCCAATTTGGCTGCCTTTTTTTTTTCTTGCCTAATTTCTCTGGCTAAGACTTCCAATACTGTGTTGAATAAAAGTGGTGTGAGTGGGCATCCTTGTCTTGTTCCTGATGTTAGAGGAAGAGCTTTCAGTTTTTCACCATTGAGTATGATGTTAGCTGTGGGCTTGTCATGTATAGCCTTTATTATGTAGAGGTGCATTCCCTTTATACTCACCTTTTTGAGAGTGTTTATCATGAATGGATGTTGAATTTTGTCAAATGCTTTCTCTGCACATATTAAGATGATTACATGATCTCACTTTAAATCAAAAGCTAGCGATGATTAAGCTTAGTGAGGAAGGCAAGTTGAAAGCTAAGATAAACTGAAATCTAGGCCTCTTGCACCAGTTAGCCAAGTTGTGAATGGAAAGGAAAAGTTCTTGAAGGAAATTAAAGTTTTACTCCAGTGAACACACAAATGATAAGAAATCAAAACAACCTTACTGCTGATATGGAGAAACTTTCAGTGGTCTGGATAGAAGATCAAACAAGCTACAACATTCCCTTAAGCTAAAGCCTAATTCAGAGCAAATCCCTAAATCTCTTCAATTCTGAGAGAGGTGCAGAAGCTGCAGAAGAAAAGTTTGAAGCTAGCAAGGGTTGGTTCATCAGGTTTAAGGAAAGAAATCATCTCCATAACATAAAAGTGCAAGGTGAAGCAGCAAGTGCTGATGTAGAAGCTGCAGCAAGTTATCCAGAAGATCCAGCCAAGATAATTAATGAGGGTGGCTACACTAAACAACAGATTTTCAATGTAAACAAAACATCCTTATATTGGAAGAAGATGCCATCTAGGACTTTCATAGCTAGAGAAGAGAAGTCAATGCCTGGCTTAACAGCTTCAAGGCTGACTCTCCTGTTAGGGGCTAATGCAGCTGGTGACTTTAAGTTGAAGCCAATGCTCATTTACCATTCCAAAAATCCTAGGGCCTTTAACAATTATGCTAAATCTACTCTGCCTGTGCTCTATAAATGGAAAAAAAAAGCCTGAATGACAACACATCTGTTTACAACATGGTTTACTGAATATTTAAACCCCCTGTTGAGAGACCTAGCTCTCAGAAAAAAAGATTCCTTTCAAAATGTTACTGCTCATTGACAATGCACCTGGTCACCCAAGAGCTCTGATGGAGATGTACAATGAGATTAATGTTGTTTTCATGCCTGCTAACACAACATCCATTCTGCAGCCCATGGATCAAAGAGTAATTTCAACTTTCAAGTCTTATTATTTACGAAATATATTTTGTAAAGCTATAGCTGCCATAGATAGTGATCCCTCTGATGGATCTGGGCAAAGTAAACTGAAAACCTTCTGAAAAGGGTTCTCTATTCTAGATGCCATTAAGAACATTTGTGATTCATGGGAAGAGGTCAAAATATCAACATTAACAGAAGTTTGGAAGAAGTTGATTCCAACCCTCATGGATGACTTTGAGGGGATCAAGACTTCAGTGGAGGAAGTCACTGCAGATGTGGTGGAAACAGCAAGAGAACTAGAATTAGAAGTGGAGCCTGAGGATGTGACTGAATTGCTGCAATCTGTTAAAACTTTTTTAACATATGAAGAGTTGCTTCCTATGGATGAACAAAGAAAGTGCTTTCTTGAGATGGAATCTACTCCTGGTGAAGATGGTGTGAAGATTGTTGAAATGACAATAAAGGATTTAGAATATTACATAAACTTAGTTGACAAGGCAGCGGCAGGTTTTGAGAGGATTGACTCCAATTTGGAAAGAAGTTCTCTAGGTAAAATGCTATCAAACAACATTGCATGCTACAGAGGAATCATTCATGAAAGGAAAAGTCAAACTATGCAACACACTTTGTTGTTATCTTATTTTAAGAAATAGCCACAGGGGCCAGCCCGGTGGTGCAAGCAGTTAGGTGCACAAGCTCTGCTTCGGTGGCCAGGGATTTGCAGGTTCAGATCCCGGGCGTGCACTAATGCACCGCTTGTCAAGCCACGCTGTGGCGGCATCCCATATAAAGTAGAGGTAGATGGCCTGGATGTTAGCTCAGGGCCGATCTTACTCAGCAAAAAGAGGAGGATTGGCAACGGATGTTAGCTCAGGGCTGATCTTCCTCACAAAAAAAAAAAAAAAGAAATTGCCACAACCACCCCACCTGTAGCAACCACCACCCTGATCAGTCAGCAGCCATCAACATTGAGGCAAGAGCATCCACCAGCAAAGATTACGACATTCTAAAGGCTTAGATGATGATTAGCACTTTTTAGCAATAAAGTTTTTTTAAATTAAGGCATGTACATTATTTTTTAGACATAATGCTTTTGCACACTCAATAGACTACAATATAGTTTAAACATAACTTTTATATGCACTGGGAAACCAAAATTTCGTGTGGCTCGCTTTATTGCAATATTTGCTTTATTGTGGTGGTCTGGAACTAAATCTACAGTGTCTCTGAGGTCTACCTATACAGTGTATCAGCTGACTCCTCTCCCTTTCACAAGGAGGCCTGTGATGAAGGCACCTCGTATAGGAATGCAGAATGCGTAAGAGCATGGTGTGGATGAACCTTATTCCTTGACTGCATCTACCTCCAGTGTCTGAAGCTCACCAGCTATGCATCAAATTTGGTGTGGGGTGAGAAGTGTTTCCCCCCATGAGACCTGCCAGGTAGAGATTTTGTAATTTTCTATGCTTGGGCCTAAAATATTGAACACAGGATTTTGTCCTGGACTTGGACTCCTATATATACATACATATACACATGCATGCACGTATACATATACATATTCTTACACACACATACATATGCACATATACGTGCATATACACATGCACAAACATATTTAGAAATCATGAGTTCTCATGGACACCTTCAACTTCAGTCCACCTCCGCCGGGCATTTCCTTGCCTTCCTCTATTTCATGTGTGCATGTCCTTTCTTCCACTGTGTGAATCCTGACTCTGAATAACATGACACATTTACTCATTTGCTCCAACTTGTTATGCTTCTAAAATTGTTTTGGAATTGCTTAGCACATAAATCTAGAAAAAACAAGCCTACTGAAAATATTTTGCCATATGTTTACAGCCTCTTCTCCACACTCGCGCATGAATGAGGGTATGTGTCAAATACTGTATTGATGAGTTACTTGCATTAGTGGTTTTTTTTCTTTCAGTAGGTTCATTTCTTTAAGTTTGCTTCCAATTTTGGTTCCTCTTTTGTGATTTAATTTTATTTTTGAAATATGTGGAAGCTGAATGTACTTTCAAAAGTAAAAAATATGCAAAAAAAGCATACTTAGAAGAGTGCCATTTCTTCCCCAGTTCGCTCTCTTTCATCTTGTATGTAACCAACTACATTGTTTCTTGATATCTCATTTGTGTTTCATTTTGTACAGCTAAGTATCTAATTCATTTTCTCGCTCTCTTTTTTTCTTATTTCTTATTTTCTTATTTACCCTTCTTCCTTAAATAAATGGTACCATACAAGTTTTCCCCTTTTGAGTTTGTTTTTTTTTTTCACTTAATATTATCTCCTGGAAATCCCTCCAAGTCAGCTTATAGAGATTCCTTTCATTCCTTTCACATCTCTATGTATAGCTCTTTGTACCACATTATTTACTATCATTTACATAGTTTATAGTGTGTATATTAGCTTATTCATCCAATCTTCCGTGTTTGAACATTTATGTACAATTACAAATAATGCTGTAATTAATAAATTGTACATATGCATTTTCACTGGTTAGTCTATGAAGTCTATATGATCTATAAAGTATAAATAACCCAAGAGAAATAGAGACTAATATAAACTATATATAATGCCTAGAAATGTTTGTGAAATAATGAGAAACCTTCAACACACATCTGTTAAAACTCTTCTCACAATAACCATGTCAGATCTAGTATTATGGTAATTTAGTTCTAACTGCATAAAAATGAGAATGTTGCTGTACACTTATAAATTTGAATTATAGAGATATCATAATAGATCTATTTTTCTATTTAGTGGACTAAATATATCTTTTATGTAGCTCATGATAAAGTACAAAATGAAAATCTTATGCTTGAACATCAAGAATCAATGTCAAAAACCCAAATGCAAATAAAGAAACAAAGAGCTTCTATAGAGAAAAGACTCACTCATAAGCACAGTAATAATAGACAACTTTAAATTATTTTAAATTAATTACATCTAAAGATCTTTTTCTTTGGTTCATGAATCTGTATTTTACTATAAATTTCATAAAAATTTTACATTTTGATCTGAAGTATAAATAGCCTAAGATAACTACAGAACAAATGCTAAAGTATTCATAACTTTTGGTTAATATTTCTGGTTGTAATACTGTTTCACAGCCATGGGTCATGCAATCAGTATCCACCAAAGCCAATAACAGGGCAATAATCGTCTTTCAAAGGATATGTACCTTTCAGCCAACTCCAAGATGTTAGGGGTCCAGAAGCCCAACTTAATCCACTGTCCTGTGCAGTTGCCTTCTTCCAAAGACTCCAATTGGTGAGGAGAAGTTGCTGAGACCTGTAACTGAAATGCAGATCACAGGGACCAAGGGGAAGAGTGACCTGGGAGGCCTATTTGATGGACTCCAGAACATTCTCTTGGTTGAAATCCACTCAAATGTAGAGACCTTTTTGATAAATTAACAGATAGTTGCAATCAGGGTCCTGTTGAGGGGAAAGTGAGAGGGCAAGTTCAGAATAGTCCCACGGATTTCCCACCCTCTTTTGTATTTGTTGGGACTGAGAGGGACAAAGGTTGGGCAGTTGTCTCTTCTAGACTAAGACATATTGCCCCTTCCCAAGGATTTCACTTGGATACAAGGTCCTTGCACTGTGTCTATATTAATGACCCAGCTGTGTTGCTGAATGTGGGTCAACATAGCATCTAGTCCTTGTTGGGTAGTGCCCTTGCCTGGGCCCACCAGGAGGTTGTCATCAATATAGTGGAAGGCAAGTGCTCCATGCTGGGAGTGGAACTTTTTCCAGCTCGTGGCCTTGTGGAAGGACATTAAAGGTGTATTGCAACCAACTACACATAAGGCAAACTGATCCTAATCATCTCAGTGGACAGGGATGCTGAAAACGGCATTTACAATATGAATCACTTCCTACCTACTTCCCTCAGCTTGGGCAATTGGCTTTGTGGCAGTCACACTGTCAGGCAACACCAGTGTCCTGGGCTGTACCACAACATTAAGCCAGCTATAGTCAATTGAGTTTATAGGCACCCAAGGCCATATGCACAGGTTGACTTTATTGAATGGAGAAATAGTCGCATGGAGATCTTTGGCTTAGTTAAACTCAGCAATGAGGGCAATAATTTCTTTTCTCCTCCAGGTAGTTGTTTTTGGAGACAAATCTCTAGGCATTGGTAGTCTGGTAGGTTTACAGTCTTCCACATGCCCCACTAAAATGACCCAAACTGGAGCAGTGCTCGGCTTGGGGCTGATGCGAGTTGGAGTTCACATATTTACTAATAATGCATTTGGTAGTGAAGGCTATAAAAATGGAAGTTTATAGTGCCCCGAAGGCACCCACTCACAGTCAGTTCTGGGTGTCAGACAGCATTAACTTTTTCCCTCATTGTGGTATCAGAGTTGTGGAGATCACAGTCACTGGTAAACTAGTATCCAAATGGCCCACTTTATGCAATTTCTCCCCATTGCCTCTTTGAACTCTGACTTGGCATGCATCCTCAGATGCCACTGGGGGCATAGGGACCTTGGCCTACCCCTAATCTTGTTTATTTTCCCTCCTTTTTTGGGGGTGTAACAGTGGTTTATAACATTGTGTAGGTTTCAGGTGTACAACATTATAAGTCAACTTCTGTATATACTACAGCGTGCTCACCACCAAAAGTGCAGTTTAACCTCCATCACCTTATAATTAACCCCTTTTACTCTTTTCACCCTCCCCTCACCACCCTTCCCCTCTGCTAACCACCAATCTGTTGTCTGCTTCTGTGAGTTTGTTTTTGTTTTATTTTTTATATTCCACGTAGAGCTCTGGGTAAATGTAGGCAGAGTTCTCTGATTCATTTTAAGATCACTGGGAGGGGCAGGGGGAATAGCACTTATATTAGTAATGTCATCACCACTTTGATTCTCATGTGGCTGTGTGTTGGCCCCTCCATGGCTCACCACCTGGCCAGAAGATTCTTGGTGGAAAGTCCATCCATCTCCTCCTTGAGACTCCACTGTTGAGTAACTAGACAATGTTTTCAGTGGCAGGGGACACATCATGTGTGGGCCAACTTTTCAGAAATCAAATGTCATCAAGGAGAGAAAGGCATTGTCTCTGGTGTTTGTGTCTCTTCTTCCCCCTGCCCCCTTCCTTGTCCTCCTTGGGCAAATTGGCTGTTGTCAGGGAACTCAGAACCAGGGGGTCTATCGTGACACACTCAGCAAGGTGCCACTTTCCCTTACTAAGTTGACAAGATTATCTTCTTTATGATGGAGGCATACTACCCAAGTCTATATCTATAGTCTCCTCAAGTTGCTGGTAAAGTGAAACTGAGAAATCTGCATTCTTTTTCATTAAACATGAGTTTCAAAAACTCACTGTGTTTTGGCCTGTCCATCAGTGCCAAAGACATGCTTAGAGCTAACAGTGGTCACTGGGTACAACTCAGCCAGCAGTGTCTGCAATGACTTTTGGTGACCAACTACTTTGTGTTCTGGTTTATATTTCCTGTCTTCATTTTGTAAAGGTAAGTATCTCTCTTCACTTTTTTCCCCCTTATTTCCCTTTCTTTCTTACTTAAAAGATAGCATACCAGATATAACCTCTTTCAGGTTTTTTCCACTAAACATTATTTCATAGAAATACCTCCAAGTCAGTTTGTAGGGATCTTTTTCATTCTTTTTATACCTGTATGTACAGCTGTTTGTACCATATTACATCCCATAGATTATATTATCATAGTTTACATATCTTACTTTAGTCTACCAATCTCCTATGCTTGTACATTTAGGTGGTTTTGAGTATTCTGCAATTACAAATGTTCTCTAATGAATAACCTCGTGCATATGTACTTTTATTGTTTGTTTTATGAATATGTATTAATTGAAAATATTAAAAAACTAAGAAAACTAGAGACTAATATAAAACATATTTGAAACCCAGGAATATTAATGATATGATAAAATATCTTCCATACACACCCATTAAAACTCTTCTCACAGTTTTCAGATCTAACATTATCGTAATTTACTTATAACTTTATAAAAATAAGAGAAAATGATGCTATATACTTGTTATAAATTTTAAATCTAGGGATTTCACAGTAGACCTTTTTTTATTTAGTGAACTAAATGCTTCTTTTTATGCAGCTCAGGATAAAGTACCAGATGAAAATCGTATGCTTGAGCATCAGGACTCAATATCAATATCAGAAACTCAAGTGAGGAAACAAAGAACTCACAAAAGGGAAAGTCTTACTAGTAAGTATAAAAATTGCAGGTAACTTTAAATTATTTTAAATTAAGCTCATTAGAAGATATTTTTGTTTGGAGTCATAAATATGTATTTGAGCATATATTTTATAGAAATTTTACACTTTGACTAAAATGTGACTACCCTAAGATAACTAGAGAAAAAAAGCAAAAATATTAATACCCTTTGCTTGGAATTTCTGGTCTTAAGATCATTTCATGACCACAGGACATGCACTCAGTATCCCCCAATGCCCAATAACAGTTGAATAATTGCCTCTCCAAAGTAGTGTGCCTTTCAGCCAATTCCAGGTAATTATGGATACAAAAGCCCAGTAGACACCTCTAACCCATGGCAGTGGCCTTCTGTCATAGACTCCAATTGACAAACAGATGTTTCTGAGATCTTTAATTCAAACATCAAATGGAGATCAGAAGAGCCTGATGAAGGGCAGCCTAGAAGGCCTACAGGAGGCCCTTAAGGGCATCCTCTTGGTTGTGTTCTCACTGGAAAGAAGAAGCCTTTCTGGTAACCCCATAGATGGGTGTCATCAAGGACCCCACGTGAGGAAAATGAGAGAGTAAGTAGTCAAAAAGTCCCACTAATTACTGGGCTTCTTTTTATTTGTTGGAGTTGAGTGGGCCAAAGCTTGGCCATCATCTCCTCTGAAATAAGATGTCATGCCTCTTAGAGATCATGCCTAGGAATTTCACTAGGGTACCAGGTGACTATACCTTGTCTGTAGTAATGGGCCAGCCAAGTGCTACTGGTAGATCAACAGGGCATCTAGTTGTTGTTGGGTGGTGTCCTTGTCTGGGTCCACTTGAGTGAAGACTAGTCCTACCTCTGAGAGCAGGCCATTTAGAGGTCATGACCTATGCATTGATGACAAATATTTGAGCAATTTGGTAGCCATGTAAAGGACCTTAATAGTATATTGCAACTCATTCCACGTAAGGTTAAACTGACCCTGATCATTTCTGTGGAAAGGGATGCAGCAAAATGTGTTTATGTCAGTTGTTGCATATCAAGTTCTTTCAGTTTGGAAAATAGCCTGTATGACAGTTACAATGTTAGGTACCAACCAGTGCCTGGGACTGTACTATAGCATTGACCTATCAAAATTAGTTGAATCACTATGTGCCTAAAGCCATGTACAAAGGTCAACTTAGTTATTAAAATGGGAAATGGAGTCTCATGGAGAGTTTTCACTTCATTAAGCTCAGCAATGAGAGCAGTTATTTCTTTTTCTTCCCAGGAATTTGTTTTGGGAGACACAGGTGCTAGGCACTGTTTAGTTTGGAGGTTTTCAGTCTTCCTCTTCCCCCTCAAAAATGGCCCTAAATACAGCAGTTCCCATCAGGGCTTGGGGCTGAATGCAAGTGGGAGTGCACACAGAAAACACATTTATACCAATAAACATTCAGTAGTGGGGGATATAAAATGGAGTTTTGTGGTGGCCTGGAAGGATACAGTCATAGTAGTGTTTGACTAAGGGTCACCTTAATGACGGCCTCAGATGAAAAACCAGAGAGCATTATCTCTTTCCCCCAGTACCTGGTGTCAGAGGTTATGGAGATCACAGTAACCTGTGCACCAGTATCCTAACAGCCCTAGAAATGCAATTTCTTCCCACCCTCCTTTGAATTCTGACCTTAGTATACATCCTCAGTTCACTACTGATGACATAGGAATCTTGACCTAACCCCTAATTTTGTTTATTTTTGAAAGCTGGGAGGTTGGGCTAAAAGTAATGGAGGGTTCTCTGATTCATCTCAATATCGCTTGGAGGAGCAGAGGGAATAGCACTTATATTAGCCATAGGGTCATCACAATTTGGACTAAGTGGGGATATGTGTTGGGACCCGTGGCCCACTACCTGCCGGGAGATCTTTAGTGGAGAGTCCATCAATGTCCTCCTTGAGACCCCAGTGTTATGTATCTAGTCTTAGAGATTTCTTTGGGAAAACCCTTAACCAGATCATCCAGGAGTGGTGCCTGATTACAATTTTTAGGTCGCTCTCTTCACTTATCAAACAGTATCTTGTTGGTAGCTACTTTTTCCATGCCTGGAGGTTTGTCAGTTAAGATCTGGATTGTGCCTCAAACCAATTGACATCACCTTATAAGGAAGTTTAATTGAATTACGTAACCAGTGAACTTGGCCAGAATGAAACTAGAAATCTGAGTCTTGTTAAAAATCTTGCCATTACTTACCTCACTCCATCTGTGATCCTAGAGACCATGAGGGTGGCTCACAAAGCCGTTAGAGCCTCTGCAAGTGATGATCCAAACATGTTTTTCAGTGGCAGGGAACTCATAATAAGTGGACCATCATGTTAGAGTCAAAATAGTACTAAGCTAAGGAAGGGAAGAGTCTCAGATATTCATGCCTTTCATCCCCCTTTTCCTCTACCTCCTTGGGCAAGATGCGCACTGCCAAGTTCTACAATGGGGTTCTACAATGACAAGTCCTACAATGTGCCCCTCTCCCTCACCAAGTTTAACAAGATTACCTCCTTATTTGTGAAGACAAACTACCTAAGTTTCCAAGGTCTTTTTTGAGTTGCTGGGCAAAGCAATCGTAAAAGTGCAAGTCTCACAAACTCATTGCATCACAGGTTGTCCATTAGTTCCAAGGGTATGCTAGAGCTAACAATAGTCATTGGGTGCAACTCAGCATACAGAGTCTCCATCTTTTTTGGACCCATCAATAACCACAAAATTGCTTCTCTCGTTTTCTCAGAGCCTATCTGCTGAGTCTCCCATTTGATTCATCGGGCATTTTGGTAGGTGAATCAGAGGCTAAAGAGAAAGACAGTTGTTCCCTGTCAGAACTGAAAAGCTTATGTAAACAATACAGTAGCACCCTAGAGGGCCCCATGGCATCCTCTAGTACTTTCCGAGACTCATTTGCATGTCTGGCAAAGTGCCCTATGGGTCTCTTGCAAGTAATCCAGTAGTACCCCCATCCCAACCATGTCCTGCACATTCATTAACACTTCCTAAAGTGTTCCTTCCAGGAAGGCATTGTGCTTCATTGACCACACTGCTCTTATAGCTAATTTGCTAGAAAGATGCCAGTTTTTGAGTTGGTCTATTCAAATAACAAGCCAAACTCAAAGTGACAATTAACATTTATTCATTTACTACCATACTATAGGCTATAGTTAGAGAGGGACGGGCACCAACTCCACTAATGTTCCATTTTACCCCATGGAACAGCACCTGACAAGGGTCAGATACATCAGTGCAGACTGAGGCAGGGGATGGTCTCGGAGCTGAAGGAAACCCAAACAAAGGCTCTTGACATTTTATGGACCCCAGGGCCGAGGTAGCTAGAGGTCTGAACAACATTAATACATTTACTCATTTGCTCAATCCTGTAATGCTTCTCAAATTGTTTCAGAATTGCTTAGTACCAAGCACTAGAAAAATAAACCAACTCAAAAGATTTCATGATTTGTTCATGGTCCACCTCCCCCTCCCCACCCCAACTCTCACGTCCAAGAGTGAGTGTTTATATTAGATACTGTATTAATGAGTTACTGCTTTTAATTTTCTTTCAGCAGTTTCTTTCATTAAGTTTGCTTTTTGTTTTCATTCCTTCTTCTTATCCTTATTGATTTAATTTTATTTTGAAATATGTAGAACATGAACCTACTTGGATTCTTAGAAATCCCTCCAAGTCAGTTTATAGAGATCTGTTTTGTTCATATTACAGCTCTACGTGCCACATTATTTACCATAATTTATATTGTACCATAGTATATAGTATATAGTATATACCTTAGTTTATTTAACCAAAGTCTGCTTGAAAATTTATGTGGTTTTGAATATTTTGCAATTGCAAATATGCTGAAATGAATAACCTTGTACATATGCATTTTTATGTTTTGTTCTATGAATATGTATTAACTTATAGTATAAACAATCCAAGAAAACTAGAGACTATATATATATAAAATATTAGATATACAAAATATATTTATGAGATATGTAAAATATATATATAAAACATTATATACATATATATATATTAGATGCCTAGAAATGTTGCTGAATCAGCTTCAACACACACCCATTAAAAATGTTCTCACAATTTTCACGTCACGTCTTGCATTATGGTAATTTACTTACAACTTTATCAAAATGAGAGAAAATTGTGCTATATATTTTTTATAAATTTGAAATCTAGAGATTTCCAGTAGATCTGTTTTTCTATTAAGAGACTAAATGCATCTATTTATGTAGCTCATGATGACGTACCACACAGAAATCTTATGCTTAAGCATCAAGATTCAGTGTCAAAACTCCAAATGCAAGTACAGAAACAAATGGCTTCCAGAGGGGAAGAACACAATAGTAAGTATAATAATTATAGATAACTTTAAATTTTTAAAAATTAATCTCATCAGAAGATCTTTTTTCTTTAGTTCATTAATAGGTATGTAAGCATATAATTTATAGAAATTTTACACTAAAGTGTGAATACCATAAAACAACTAGAGAACAAAAACCATTTAACATTTAGTTGGAATTTCTAGTCATAAGACTACTTCATGGCATGTCTCTTGCACTCAGTGTCCACCAAGGCCCAATAACTGGTGAATAGTCTCTCAGAGAGTGTTTCCTTTCAACCAACAACAGGAGATTATAGGTCCAAAAGCCCAATGGGCATTTCTGACATGTGGTGGTTGTCCTTTTGCCACAGGCTCCAGTTGGCAGACAGAGAGTTTGCTGAGACCTGTAACTTAAAGGCAAAATGGATTAGGGGAGGCAAGAAGAATGGCCTGTGCGGCCAGTTGGAGGTCTCCAGGGCATCTTGTTGTCAGGCCCCACTCAGGGTAGAGGTCTTTTTGGTAACTTGACTGATGGGTGCTGTCATCAAAATGGCCATGTAGGGAATGTGTGAGCACCAGTAGCTAAGTAGTTCCACCAGTCACCGGGCATCTTTTGTATTTGTTGGAGCTGAGAGCCTGAATGTGACTAAAACTTGGCAATTGTTTCCTCTGGAGTGAGACATACTGTCCCTTCCCAGTTTATTCCCAGGAATTTCACGTGGGTCATAGGTCCTTGTGCTTTGTCTGTATTAATGGCACAGCCGTGTTGTTGAATGTGGATCAGCACAATGTGCAGTCTTTGTTGGGTAGTGCCCTTGCCTGGGCCAACGAGGAGGATGTCATCAATATAGTGGAATGTGAGTGCTGCATCTGGGAGTAGGACTTTTTCCAGCTCGTGGCCTTGTGGAAGGACATTAAAGGTGTATTGCAACCATTCCCATAAGGCAAACTGATCCTGATCATCTGAGTGGACAAGGATGCTGAAAATGGCATTTACAATATGAATCACTTCATACCTACTTCCCTCAGCTTGGGCAATAGCCTCTGTGGCAGTCATAATATTAGGTAATGCCAGTGCCAAGGGCTGTACTACACTGTTGAGCCATTGATAATCAATTGAGTTTCCAGGCACCCAAGGCCTTGTGCACAGGTCAGATGGTGAACTTTGACAATAGAGCAGTTATTTCTTTGTGTCCCTGAGGCAATTGATACTGTTTTTTTGAGAGACAAAAAGCACAAGGTACTGGTAGTCTGATAGGTTTACAGTTTTCTACATACCCCACTAAAATGGTCCTAACTGCAGAAATTCCCTTCAGGACTTGGGGTAAATGCAATCAGAAATGCACATAGACAATATATCTGCCACAATAATCCACTCAATAGTGGGCACCATAACAATGGTGATATGTTACACCCATAGTTGGGTCCGGGCGAGGGTCTTTGTGATGATGGCTTTAGACAGAAAACCCGAAAGCATTATCAATTTCCCCCTCATTCTCATGCCAGGAGTTTTGGGGGTCACAGTCATCTGTGAACCATTATCCAAAAGGCCCAAGAAATGCAATTCTCCCCCATATCAACTTTGAACTTAGACCTTGGCATAGGGCCTCCATTCCTCACTGTAGACATAGGGAGGTTGGCCATTTCATACTCTTGTTTTTTTTAAAGCCAAAAAGTTTGGGTAAAAGTTGGCACAGCTCTATGATTCATTTCAAAATTCACTGGGAGAAGAAGAAGGAACAGCACTTGTACTAGACATAGGGACCATCACCGGGCAGACCTTAGGGGGCCTGCCCTTTGTTCCCTAATGACATACTAGTTGGCCATGAGTTCCTTGATAAAGAGCCCATTAATCTTTTCTTTTGGGCTCCCATTGCTTAGTAACCAGATCCAGAGATCTCTTTGGGAAAGCCCTTACCTAGACCTTCCAGTTGTATGTGCCCAATTACCATTTTTATATCACTCTCTCTGATGGTTTCTGTTTGTTATTTTGGCAGTAGTTGCTTTTTCCTTGCCCAAGAATTTGTCAGTTATGATATGGATTGTATCACTGACAAATTGACCTGATGTTACAAGGAAGTTTAACTGATAACCAGCAGGAGTGGCACTAATGAACCTAGAGTCTTGTTAACAATTTTATCATCTGCCACTCTCATTCTTTCAATGTAGAACCAAGGGACCACCACTGTAGTTTGCAGAGCTGCTATCATCTCTGCAAGCCTGGTCCAAACGTGTATTTTAGTCGTAGGGAACACGTAGGTAGGCCGAAACTGTCAGAGCTCAAATAGTAACCAGCTGAGAAAGAAGAAAAAGGACTTGGGTGTTCCCCTCAGCCTCCTTGAACAAACTTTCTGCTGTGAAGACATTCTGAAGGAGGGGTACTACAGTGATGCACCCCACAAAGTACCACTGTCCCTCACTAAGTTTAAGAAGAATACCTCCTTCATCATGCAAGCAAGGAACCCAAGTCTTAAGGTCTCTTTAGGTCACTGGGCAAAGGAATTCCAAAGAGTTCTATATTCATTTAATTAAACCACGAGTCTCAATAACTTGCTATGTTGCATGTTGTCTATCGTCGTCTGGGACCTCATTAGAGCTAACAACAATCACTGGGTGCAACTTAGCTTGCAGAGTATGTGGCAATCATCAGAGGACAGTAGCAGTAGCCAAGGAATTGCTTCCTTAGATTTTTTTAGAGCCCCTTTGTTGGATCTGTAATTTGACCCACCAGGCATTTTGGCCAGGGAGTCTGGGGCTCAAGAGAAGGACCATTAAACCAAAGAGAAGGACCTCAAAACCAAAAAGCTTACATAAACAATCTGCTCACACTCTCCAAGAGTATACACGGCATTCCTGAGATAGCACTTCCTGAGACTCATTGATATGGCTGGCAAAGTGCGTTGCTGGATCCTCAGACTCTTGCAAAAGCCCAGCTAGTACACCCCAAGAAACCCTGTGGACTTCTCTATCATCTCCCAAAAATGATCTGGGGGATCTTCATGCTTTTTACTTTTCCAGAAAGACATTATGCTTAATTGGATCACCCTGCCTCCCACCATTTGCCACTAAGAGAGAGTTGCCAGTTATGAAGGTGATTGATTAAGACATTGAGCCAAATTGGAAGTAACATTAAGCCTTTATTCACTTACTACAATAATATAAGCAAGAGTTTAAACATGAAAAGGCACTGGCTCCACCAATGTTTCAACTAATGATTCATTTCCCTGTGAAATGATAACGGGCAAGGGCTGGATGTATTAGCACAGATGGGAGGGCAATGTCTCACTGTATATGCAGATATTTTTACCACATTATATCCCCTGTATACCATATATACTATGTATTTATGCACAAACGTACGCATATACACCATTATATACCAAAACTGGTACTATACTATTTTTTTCCAGTTTTATTGAGATATAATTGAATACATCACTGTATAAATTTAAAGTGTACAGCATAATGGTTTAACTTACATATATTATGGAAGGTACTATGCTATTGTTTATAGTATGTATATCAGTTTATTCGACCAGTCTCCTATTCTTGAACATTTAGATGATTTTGAATATTTTGTAATTACAAATGATGCTGTAATGACCAACACTGTGCATATGCATTTTCATTGGTTGGTCTATAAATATATATTAACCTAAAGTGTAAACAATCTAAGAAAATTAGAGTCTAATATAAACATATTTGGTGCATGGGAATATTTATTTAAAAAAAAGCCAGCATCAACACACACCCATTAAAAATGTTCTCATAATTTTTATATCAGATATAGTATTATGATAATTTATTTATGACCTTATAAAAATGAGAGAAAATGTTGCTATTCACTTGTTATAAGTCTGAAATCTAGTAGATCTATTTTTCCATTAGGAGACTTAATTTATCTCTTTCTGTAGCTCTTGATAAAGTACCAGATGAAACTCGTATGCTCAAACTTCAAGATTCAGTGTCAAAAACCCAAGTGCAATTAAATAAATAAAAAACTTCCATAGGGGAAAGACTCAATAGTTAAGTATAATAATTATAAATAATTTTATATTATTTTAAATTTAACGCATCAGAAGAACTTCATTTGGTTCGTAAATATGTATTTGAGCATATATTTTATAGAAATTTTAAACTTTGACCTAAATGTGAGTACCCTAACATAACTAGAGAACAAAAGCAAAAAATACTAATTGGAATTTCTTGTCATAAGATTATTACATGGCCACGGTCATGCTCTTAGTATCCACAAAGGCCAATAATGGACCAATAATTGTCTCATAAAGGATATGCACTTTTTAGCCACCTCTGGCAGATTGTGGAGCCAAAGCCCAGTGGGTGCCTCTGACCCATGGTAGAGGGTCTTCCACCATAGGATCCAGTAGGCAAAGAGAGATGTTGCTGAGATCCATAACTGAAACAGCAAATGGAAATTAGAAGGGTCAGTTTAAGAGCCTTTAAGGGATCCTGTCCATCAGGACCCCAGTCAAAGGTAAACTGACAGATGGGTGCTATCTGATCCCTGTGAGAGTGTGGCAGTATCTGAATAGTCCTACCAATTGCTTTTATTTTGGGGGGCAGAGAGGGCCAAAAGCATAACAATCGTCTTCTCTGGAATGATACACTATGCCCCTTACAGAACATGCCCAAGAATTTTACTTCTGTTTTAGGTCCTGTACCTTATTGGTAATAATGGCCCAGCTATGTGCTGCATGTAGGTGAACAGGACATCCAATTCTTTTTGGGTAGTGCCCTTGTTTGAGCCCTCTAGTAGGATTTCATCAATTGAGTGGAAGGCCAGCACCCCCTCCAGAGTGGGACTTTTTTTGGGTCTTGACCTACACATTGATTACAGATAGTCAGAGAACTTAGGGAGTCTTGTGGAAGGACATTAGTGGTGTAATGCAACCCAAGCTACATACAGCAAACTAATTCTGATCACCCGCGTGGAGAGATGCTGAAAAGAGCGTTTGTGATGTCAAATTGCAGCATACCAAGTTCCTTTATCGTGGGCAATAACCTCTGTAACTGTCACAAAGTCAGGTGCCACTGGTGTCAAAGACAGCACTAATGCTTTGTATAGCCCTAATCAATTTAGAGTCTAGGCACAAAAGGTCTTGCACACAAGCCAGGTGGAGCTATTGAATGAAGAACTAGTTTACAGATATTGTTGACTTTTTAAAGCTCAACAATGAGGGCAGTTGTTCCTTTTTATTCCCCAGGCTGTTGACTTTTTTTGTGTGTGTGTGAGGAAGACTGGCTCTGAGCTAACATCCGTTGCCAATCCTCCTCTTTTTACTGAGGAAGATTAGCTCTGAGATAACATCTGTGCCCATCTTCCTCTATTTTGTATATGGGATGCCACCACAGCATGGCTTGATGAGTGGCATGTAGGTCTGTACCCTGGATCCAAACCTGTGATCCCCTGACCGCCAAAGCGGAGCATGCTAAAACCGCTATGCCACCAGGCTGGCTCCTGTTGACATTGTTTTTGGTAGACAATGTGCTAGGTGCCAATAGTTTGGTAGGTCATGATTTTCCACATACCCTACTAAAATACCCTAACTTCAGCAAATCTCGCCAGGGGTAAGGGGTGTAAATGCAAGTGCTGGTTGATATAGAAAGTACATTTCTACCAATATGTATATGCAGTAGTAGAAGCCATAATAATGGGGGTTTGTAGTGGCCAAGGGGATTCACTCATAGTTGGGTCTGGAAAAGAGTCCTGATGGTGGTGGCTTCAGACCTAAAACTACAGAGAATTATCTGTTTCCTCCTCATCTTCGTGTCAGGGATTGTGGGAATCATAGGAATTCATTACCCAGTATCCAAAAGGCCCAAGAAATGTAATTTT